AAACACACACAGACACCCACACATATCCATTAAACACACAAACACACACACACAGACCGCCACCCCTATTTATTAAATGTTTGCATAATTATTTAATTATAATTAGGAGCTGCTCCAGACTGCCTCCCCCTCTATACTGTTTGAAGGCATCTCATTAACATTGAAAGCCTGTCACGCTTATCTGCCCCTGGGGGGGGGGGGGGGGAAGGGGGGCACGCTGCTTCAGACTGACAGATCGTGGAGAGAGCAACCCCTCCCCACGGCTTCCTGAGTGGCTGGATAGGATGTGCAGGCTGGGGAGAAGAACACCACAAACATTCTTCATAAGGATCCCCCTCCCCCTCCCCCACACCCTAAACCCAGCATAGCAGCTTATGTTGGACACTTCAAAGTCAACCCCTCACCTCCTACTGACTGTTTTCACCTAGTTTACCAAGACAGAAGCTATGGGGGAAATCCCTGGGAAATCCCCACGTTGTCACTAACCTGATAGCCCTACATCAGAAATCTGCAGCAGGTATTTTATTATTAAGTGTGATGAAGGACTTCATCCTGGATCACACAGGCAGTTTGGGGGCTATTTGCCCAATCTACACCTTCCCACTGCAAAGTTCAGCAATGGTGATTTAGACATTACTACAGTTCCTTGAATGTCAAAAGCGCCGAAATGAAGCAGACAATGGGCTGGACGTGCAATGGGTGCTGACACTGTTCTCTGAGAAACAATGACGATCTGTGGGGCGAGCGAATCTAGCGAGTCCACAAGCGGCCAGCGGGATGTGGGCGATGGCAGAGGCTGACGCCTCCCCAGTGATCGGGGCTGCAGGCCAGCGACAGGCTGGCTTTGGGTTTTGGCATCTCGTACCAGATCGTATGTTGCCGGAGGATGGGCGACATGAGGAGCATTTGTACTCGCTGCTTTGTGTGTACATTTATATTACGGTGACAGGGCTGGCGATTAATAACAAAATATGAACCAAACACTGTAGAAAACACTCCTTCCTGCGTTCCTTTCTATTTTATTTTTATTGTTTTGACCTGAATTGTATGCGTGTGTCAGTGTGTGCGTGTATGTCTTTGTGTGTCTGTGTGTGTGTGTGTGTGTGCACCATCACCTGTTGTTTTTCCTATATCCTGTTTTTATTAAACAGCAGAATGTAAGTCGCTGGTCTAAACGTAAAACAGTCCTGGATTGGCATCAGGTGCATTGTGGGATAGCGGAGCCCATTTCGGTGACATCGGACGGGCAGCGTCGGCAGCAGTGTGCCCAGACTACGAGCGCTAAAGAAAACAGTCAAATGGAAACTGCGCTGGTAACAAGATGCCCCCAGGGAGGCACCAATGGGATTCGAACCGGCGACCGAGTGAGGCAGTAATTGATAATGGGCTTCTGAGGAGCAATTCGGAAAAGCATGGAAAACGCAAAAGCGTAACACAATAATCTTAAACAGACCTCAGGATTTGCATTTTGGCAAGCTTATGTTGAACTGTCAGATTGCGATGTCTCTTTTTTCATCCATCCATTCATCCATCCATCAAGCCTCCTTCCAACTGCTCGTCACTATTTTTTTTACCAACTGAAAAATGTTACATAAACATCATGCCATTGAATTGCACCACTAATGCTCTGCTCAGTCCATGGTTATAATCTTATCCAAAACACTTAATTTCTAATCCTAATCTCAATCCAGCCTTACAACTGCCACAATGGGATTCGGTTATGTCACATTTCTAGATTTAGCCTAACTTAAACAAGTGTACCTCCTCATTGTTTGAGTGGACAAAACCATCCTAGTCAACAATCAATCCTGCCTTAACACCCACATTCTTTCACCCACAGGGTGTAAAAGAGCACAGATTGAAGTAGTGTGGTGTGGTGGGTGTGGTTCACACCGTCGTCTGCAGCTAGTGTGCTGGCCAGATGCACATTTTGTCACAAAGGGACATGTTGGGCACATGCCAAAGATGCCAACATAAAGCCAACTGGTCTACAAGCAGAGACTAAAGACTGACTTTGCTAAACTGCTGAATATGTGAAAGACGACCAGAGACCTAGCAGTGTGGAGCAGTTAGAGTCATTGAAATAAACAGGTTTTATTTCCTTCACATAGCAGCTGGCATAGTGGTTAAGAAGTCATGTATCATGACACTTTCCTTTGAAAATCCACAAAATAGGTACCATTCAATGTGATCGTAATTATGACTACGCTTGTTCCTGTGATGGGCTAGCATCCCATCCTGTTGTCCCCCTCCCTCGAAGAGGCTCTAGGAAAAGTTGACAAGCAGCTAAAACACAGATTGATGGACGATTATGCCGCGCCTGCACTCACAAATGCAATCGAGGCTTTTAAAAAGCGGGGAAAAAACGGAAGACTTCACACGATAATGCGTTCTCATCTGGGGTTGCCGTGGCGACAAGACAGAGGAGTCACTGGCTTTGATCAAGCTGGATTGGACAACGATGTAGCCAAAACATGGCTGATACAGTGCTGTATGCAAGACTGTTTATCACCAGTAGGCTGTGGGTTCAGATCCCAGGAGGAGCTTAGGTGTGTATTCCGGTAACATATCAATTTACTGGCATGGTTTACATAAAAAAAAATGTTTTACGTGCACCAGAAAGTCATGCATTCTGAAGAAATACACTAGAAAAATGCATACTATGTGATTAAAGGCCTGTATACATTTAGCAAAATATGCAAATGAAACTGTTACATGCAACAAGATCATGTTTTTCTATTTATACCTAAAATAATGCTGTACTTTAAATGTTTCAGCACATATGTTGTGAGCATACAGGCACACATACACATTCTCTCTGTGCTTTCTGATTCATAGTCCAGGAGATAATTCTTCCTGAGACATTTCAGCATCATTGCTTAATCACAACAAACAAAACGTCTCGAAAGGTCACAGGTGCCAGTTTGACGGGAGTCATTTCCATTCTGGGGATAAGATCACTGGGACCCAATCAGTACCTCTGGAAGATAAATGCATCCTCTAGCTGTCAGTCATCCTCTAGAAAAGCCCCCCAATCGTTCCCTCTCCCTTTTAATGGCCAGGTGCCTTCTCTCATACAGAGATACCGAACCAAGCGATGAGGTAATGAGGAGCAGGGTAAGGGTCAGAGTGAGGAACAAGGTGAGGAACAAGGTGAGGAACAGAATGAGGAGCAGGGTGAGGATCAGAGTGAGGAACAAGGTGAGGGGCAGAGTGAGATACAATGTGAGGAACAAGGTGAGGAACAGAATGAGGAGCAGGGTGAGGGTCAGAGTGAGGAACAAGGTGAGGGGCAGAGTGAGATACAATGTGAGGAACAAGGTGAGGAACAGAATGAGGAGCAGGGTGAGGATCAGAGTGAGATGCAATGTGAGGAACAGATTTTGGGTCAGAGTGAGACACATGTTGAGGAACATGGTGAGGAACAGAATAAGTAACGATGTGAGGAAAGAGGAAGCAGGGTTAAGAACATCATAAGATAGACATAGAGGTTCAGAATAAGATGCAGGGTACACACTGAGGTCCACAGAGACAATATGAGTCAGTGAGATTCAGCATTTCATATTATTTGTATTCAGTTCAGTAACTGGCAAAACATCTCATGCACAACAGCCGCGATGAAGTGCTCACTAATGATGTGGGAAGGCCCATCTGCCAAGGAGCTAAACATATGGTGTTCAGGGGTGGGGGTTTCCGAATCATCAGCCTCCTCCCTTTTCAAGCCGGGGAGCGGCACAGTTCCACAAAGTCAAAAACGTTTATTTTGCTGGTAGGTCGGGGGTCATTTTTCCAGGAATGATAAGGAGACCATACACAGGAACACAGAGACATATCTGCCTAGGCAGGGAATTCACCGTGACTCTCATTCTTAAAATGGAGGGATTGAATAAATGAAGGGATTTTCTCTGTCACATCTCACAAATCCCAGGATGCAATCCCATAGTGAACTATGATAAAGTTATAAAAGCCAGAAATACCATAATTCACATATGCATGTGAATTGGTTTGACGTGTTCAATGTGAAGTTACACCCATGCCCCCCCCCCATAAGCCGAGGTGATGCTTTTACTTACTTAGCATTTAAGAATACAACTGAAGAGAGATTGATATAATAAGAGGATGCAATTTCTATCCTTTCATGCAGCTAGATTATAAATGCTGAAGGAGACACCAGCTCAGCTCCCCCAGACTCCAGAAATTTAGCACAAAATCGTGGGGAGCATATCGGCCCCAAATGTACCACAACATATATAAACAGGGGATGGTGGTTTTGACAGGGAGTTGCAGCAAGGCTTAGCCCCGGACCATCAGTGGGCCGAGCTGCCAGTTACTTTCACACTGGGGTGGAATATACCATTACGTCTCCTCTTGGGGGGTAACAGCACTCAGGTGAAATGCCCAGAATTTGGCAGGGTAAACACTTTAGTCCTACCTTCTCCCCACCCCTGAATTAATCCCATCTGTGGGGAATTTAGCTAGCAGCACTTGTGAGCCTCTCAAACCCTGGGGCCAGCAACGTATTTGGGCACTCAAACACTAATTGGCAGCAAATCCTACCCAAAGCCAAGGCAATCCCGCCATCTCCGGCCAGACCCCGGAGCATCATCTGAGGCGTTTGTGAACCACGCACCCTCCGCGTCTCAAGAGGGACGCGATATTTACACCCTGGTGCCTCTTCAAAGTCATTCATCCCCCCTTTCGAGGTTTAAAGGAAGCGTCTTTTCTACCACACAAGTTCATTTCCATGACAGTGGCCCTAAGGTTCACATAAAAGGTTACAACCAACACAACGTGATTGAGAAATTAGTCCCACAAACCAGTAAGGGAAGAGGCTAATCCTTATGTCACTGCAATAAGTTTGTGCTCAAAAGGTACGTTCTGGTGCCTGACTGACAGCCAGCCTCAGCTTAATGACCCTGGGGAAGATGCCCAGCGCATAGGCGTGCTGATTCCGCCTGGGCTTGTGCGTGTATGTGGGACTGCATGTGCTGTTTCCAGACCTGATGGCGGTCTTCTCCATGGCATCGGGACTGTCCACCGCTGGCAGCTCATCCGCCAGTATCTCCTCCGGGTTCCGTGGGTCGATGAGGATCCCCCGCTTGTCGTTGATCCCGATGCCCGCTGTGATGGCATTCCACAGTGCATTCTGGGATTTGGAGCCTGGAGGGTGGGATGGGGAACAACCATCTGTATTTTCGCTGCCAGAAAAAACTTCTTACCCTTTATAGAACTACCCATGGAGTCACTCTGCTTGCCAATTAATTCAAAGTAAATTATAGAGTAATGTTTTCTGAAGCATGACTTGGACACGTAACACATAATCATAATGAAGGACTTGGGTGTACTATCCCGTCGTTTCATACTTTATTAGAGCGCTGAAATCGTGAAATGTTCAGGATACGCTAATGATCAGACCTGGTCTTCTATTGCCATCCAGTGGAAAAACAGTGTCATTACAGTTCTCTCTCTGCACTACTGCACAGCCGATGCACCCTTGATTACCTGCTTCGGGATAATTAAAGATACTTTGTTTATTATTTGAAACAGGTATCTCTGAGAACTAGAGGGGACAAGAAGTGCCAATTGTGATGCTATGACCTAAAGTGTAATTAAACTCCTTTCAGCGTATAAGAAGTGTGCTAATTATACAGGCCACTTCAGATAGAAAGAAGGAAGCTAATCATGTTAATGAAGCAGCAATCAAAAGGAAATTAGGAGTGGCATCTGAATAGGGTAACCACGTAACCAGGGATGGCAGAAGCATCGCCGGTGTTTCTGCGCTTATACAAAAATTTTATTTGCTGTTTAAGTTTGGATTGGTCGATACATTGATAGTCAATTAAAATCACTGAAAGGAATATAAGTATATATACAGTAACCCCTTCACTTTGGCGAGGACTGGGGGCGGCAGATCCTGCGAATGTGACAATTCGCGAATAAAACTTTGGCTTGTCATTGTCTTGTCATCTCTTATGTAGACTTTTTCTATAATATACAAACCACCTAAGCCATGCCCCTGAATGTAAGTTAGTGTACTTTAGTGTAACAGAAGCATTACATTTGGGACACATTATTAAAATGCAAGATTACCAGCACTGAAAAGTTTAAAAGTTGCTGCAAGAAAGGAGAGATTTCACGGTCACGGAGACAGATACGTGAGTGAAGCAGGTTACTGAGACAAAGATGAGCGGCGTACCAAGCTCAGGATTTTAAACTAACAAATATTATGAAAGCCTACTACTAATATTTATATGTTAAATGACATTACGCGATCCAAATCATTTTCAGTATTGTTTTTGGCTACAAAAATATCCCCGTTTAATCGTTCACTGCCAACTGACGAATAATCGAAACCGCAAATTCCAAATCCGCGAATATGAAAGGGTTACTGTATTTCAACACAATGCATATTAATGCATTAAAAACAGAAGTCATGGGATTCATCGGATTAAGGTAAGGAGCGCAGTGGCTGTGATGTCAACGATCTCGATTGGGAAACGTGTGGTATTCGGCGTGATGCCCTCATACTCACGAGCAAAGCGGGCCAGGGGGCGCCGGTTGGTCTCTCCAGCCTCGTTTGCCACTGTAGAAACAAGGGCGGGGGGTGAGTTTGCGCTGATAGGGATAAACTTAGCGGTCACTTAAGGAAGTACCGGCTTGGACCGAGGCTAGTCCCTTTTCAGTCTGGAGAACCACGTCAAAAGTAGACTAGCTTAACTCGATCCGAGAAACTACTTTGCAAATCACTGCTATTGGGGCTGTTAACTTTGTTCAGCTGGATGGAGTGAGATTTTCAGTTCGCGAGAAATCTGCACATACGTTTACATGTATGTAAGTTTTATTACCTTGTAAACAGTCTGTATGGTTTGCAAACAACCCCAATGCTTTTGATGTAGCTAATTTTAGGTTTACAAAGGAATAATATATTTATTTGCCATAAGATTTCTTGCATGAGCTTGAGAGTCTGAAAGCATGAGTGTCACGCCAGATACATGAGTTGGGCACCATGTGTTATTGAGCTGTTAATTTTGCAGTTGTGGCCTTCTCATCTCCTCTCTCACTCCCCATCTCCTCTCTCACTCCTCATCTCCTCTCTCACTCCCCATCTCCTCTGCCCTCTCTCATTAACAAGGTGTTTTTGCACATAGAACTGCCATATGTTAATAAATGTTTATTGCACCATTCTCAGTAAACTCTACGCACTGCAGTGTGTTAAAATCCCAGGATGGTGGCTGTTTCTGAGATGCTGGACCCACAGCATTTGGCGGCAACAATCACACCACAGCCTCTTAGCTCAGACATCTCAGCCATTCAGATGCTCAGCCAAACAGTAAATGAACCTCTTAACCCTGTTTGTTGTATGTATTCAGAATGTCCCTAAACAAACTCGCTAACCTTGCCGATGGAAAATAATGACACTATATCTCTACACTATATCTGACTTTATTTTGAAGGAGAGCTCTTTATGTAGAAATAATAATAAAAAGTATAAAAAGCATAAAGTTTGATAGTAATGTGAGAGGGAGCCCAACACTTACAAGCCCATGGCAGACTGTCATCGTCACCTCTTTGGACGATCCCCTTTGAGCAGCTGGTGTCACCATGTGTGTGTGTGACCTCCTCCACACCCAGATCCGTGCCGCGTGAATCAGGACAGCACAGTAGCCAAAATGAATAAAGGAGAATAAGGAGCAACGGTTCTCACCATGACCGGAAGAGGATTTCTGGGGGCGCAAAGCCGTTAGGAACGCGTGAAGCGGCTCCCGGATCGGCGGGAGATGGCAGACCACGGGGGCAGCGTCTTGAAGCCCATCTGCGTCAGATGTCAGTGGGATCGACGACAGGGCCGCGTTCGGCATGCACCCGGAGCATCGCTCTATCTCCAGGCCAAGAGAGACGCTGCCTTCCGAGGCCGCCTGCCCACCGAGGCCGCCTGCCCACCGAGGCCGCCTGCCCTCCGAGGCCGCCTGCCCCCCGAGGCCGCCTGCCCCCCGAGGCCGCCTGCCCACCGAGGCCGCCTGCCGTCCGAGGCCGCCTGCCTCCCGAGGCCCCCTGCCCCCCGAGGCCGCCTGCCTTCCGAGGCCGCCTGCCTCCCCTCCGTTTCACTCACAAAGGTGTTTTTTTTCCCTCTCGTTTGCCTCTGTTCTGCCGGTACTCCCACGCTTGGCCTTGCGATGCGAAAATACGGCACATCTCCTTCCCTTTGTATCACATAAAGAAAGGTGTGTTTATAATGTTACTCTTAATACACTGTATTATGCAATGTCTGACCACTAAAATTCACCGGCAAAATGGTGAAATATCCAAGACGGCCATCGAACCAGAGGCAAAGGGTCGGCTGGACCGTGTATGTCCATTGTGTTCTTAAAGTAAAAGCCTCACGGTGCTACTGCACACAGACCAGTCATGGGTGTAAATTATGGGGGGGGGGGTGTGTATCCCCAATAAATTAACCCAGCCAGTACAACCCCCTGGAACCCCTTAAATGGATGGAGACCTCAGCCCCCCCCCCCAATGATCAACCCAATGTTACGCCCTTGGGTGAAGTGACATATTGTACCTTTTCCCAGAAAGAACTGAAAACAAAAACACCCAGTAATACCTTCATAATCCATCCACATGCAAACCGCATGTCCTTAGTATGGAGTTTTTCCCTCATGAAATTTCTCACTGGCTTTTTAACTTGATGGTAAACATTGTTTCTGAATGACGGCCACAAAAGACACATGAGCAAATCGGCCTTTTGGGACGAGTATGTTGATAACTCTGCAAAGTCTGATTCGTAGTCGTGTCAAATTAAAAGACAATTGCTCTAAAAAAAACCGACAGCCTTCAGGCGTGGCTGGGGAAGGGCCACATCGCTATGGCAATGCAAGCATTCGCCGCCATCGGCCGGTAAAACGTCACGCGCCTTCCCAGAATGCTGCTTTCCGAGCAGATGATAACAGCTCAGAGATAAAGAGCACTCAGCCTACTTTTTATGGAGCGGTTACTTCGCGATCCAGCTTCTCATCAAATACCAATAACTCGGCTTTTTAAAAAGTGATTCATTGATGTGAACCACAAGCCTGCAAAATTAAAGAGAAAAATATGTATTATGTAAAAAATACTTAATAAATATGCACTTCAATATTTATATAAAATTGTGAATATTAACTTCTTCAGTTCAGCTCTAGAATATATTTGGTATATAGTCTTGCCTTTGCTTCTGTTATTGTATCCCTGCTACCACTTGCGGGGGGGGGGGGTCTCCGGAGGCAGCTGACGGGTACCGGGGTGTGTGTGTACCCCGGGGGGGGGGGGGGGGGTCACTATGACACCCAGGGTCACACATGTCACACACATGCACATGGGGACACGGATCCCCAGCCATCGATTCACACGGACTCGGCGCTGGGAGCAATCGCTCAGCAAATGGAAGGAGGACGGGGGCTTCATCAACGCCTCAGCTCACATGTAGGGGGCGCTAATAGGGCCTGATGGGAGGTCATGGGGAGGAGACAAGCTGGGCCCCCCCAAGGAGACAAGAAGTACAGACACTTCATTAGGGCTAATGACCCCTTTGGGGCCCCTGGCCTGAACGCCAAGCAACCCTGCTCTTTGCTTTTCCAACAGCCACAACCATCCGGCCTCTGTGATACAACCCCCCCCCCCCCCCCCCCCCCCCCCCCCCCCCCCCCCCCCCACCAGGCGTGGCCCCCAGAGCATGTGACATCGCCACACGCGTGGGTGATTACCCTTCTGGCTTGCTTAATGAGGTCTCTGTTGGCTTTTTAGAACAGCTGAAGGGCAAGAAGAGACAAAGAGGTGGAGCAAAAACAGGTTTGAAGGTCAGCGGGGGTTGGGGGGATTGGGGTGGCTTTCTGGTTAGCCCCCCGCCGCCCAGGGATTCAGGGTGGACCCCAGAGGCTCGTCCAGGTGACGCCATGAGGCACCTGCGCGGATTCTGGGAAATCTTCGTTTTACGATAACGCCTTTTTAAATCTATATTTGAGGGGGCTGTATTTGCTTAAGGAGAATCGCCCAGCTGGGGGCAGGGTCAGACCGAGCGGGTAAACATGGACCACTCTGTCACATAGAGTCTGACGCCTTCCGGCCGTCTTCTCCTCCTCTGTCTGTTTTCTTTCTTTCTTTTAATCTGGCTCTCGAAGGGGCTGGGGAATCCGATCGTCCCGCACGGAAAGGAGGAGCGGAAGTGCTGCCTGCGGACGCACATGACCGTACCCAGGGCCACGGTGCAAAGTCCCCCCATACTGTCTACTGTCAAGTACCCCTACGCGACCCCCCCTCCCCTCACACACACACACGCCCCCAGGACGACAGCGCACTTACATAAGAGCTGCCGCGTGACCTTTGATGTAATTTCTGACACCGGCCAGTGAGGAGGGCCTGCCTGTCACACCACCCAGCCTCGGACAGGGTGTGAATGGTAGAAGGGCCCCTTTAAATGAAGTATCTGTGAATCACTTTGGGTTGCGGCTGTGTATGGGCTTACATAACAGGCCGCACGTGCCACATTCAGGTCCAAACCCACTGGTGCTGCGCTGACACCCGGCGCAATAAGAACAGCTTCAGCCCAGACATCCAGCCTATTCTAGAGCCTTGTCATCCTTACTGGTATCCTTCTTACTGGTATCCTTCTTACTGGTATCCTTCTTACTGCTATCCCCCCTTATTGGGATCCTGATCAGTGGTATATCCCTTATGGGCAAACCCCTCACTGGTATCCCTTACTGACATACCCCTTACTGGTATGCCACTTACTGATATCCCCTCTTACTGGTACCCCCTTTACTGGTATCCCCTTTACTGGCATGCCCCTTACTGCTATCCTGGTTACAGGGATACCCTTTACTGTTTTCCCCATACTGGTACTTACTGGTATCCTCCTTACACATATGTCATATGTCTTACTGGAATCCTCCTTTACTGCTACCCTCCTTACTGGTTTTGTCCTTACTGGCCTACCCCTGACTGATACCCTCCTTACTGGTACACCCCTTACTGGTACACCCCTTACTGGTACACCCCTTACTGGTACACCCCTAACTGGTACACCCCTTACTGGTACACCCCTTACTGGTACACCCCTAACTGGTACACCCCTAACTGGTACACCCCTTACTGGTACACCCCTACCTGGTACACCCCTAACTGGTACACCCTTGGT